GGCACTGTTTGTTTTCCTTTTTTGAAAACTGAAATAACCCAGCAAAAATAAGGGCTTCACGTATATTTCCTTCAAGAAACATCATTAGGAAATAAGTTATTTATTTCCAAAAGAATCAGTCTTTGTCTCTTTATTGCCTACAGTTACATAAATTCCCAAATGTTAGTAAATAGAACAATAGAGTTTTTTGGCCTCATTTTAAAATCACAGATTCTAAGTAAAGATAAAATGAAAAACTAAAGCCCTCATACCCCTGAGGTTCACTTTAGTAATTTTTGAATTTCCCTTTGATATATGGTCTAAATAGGAAGTAAGCTTCCTGAAGGCAAGGGTTATGTCATTAGTATAGTGCCTGACATATAATATATAATACTTAACTGATTGGTTGATTTGGGGAAGACCAATATCCTAACCAATATCCTCTGAACATACCCAAATACTTGTAATTCTTGCTACATTCCTTACTACAAATAGCATTTTTTACTTGAGTCACTCAAATATCTTCAGCCTAAATGACTTGCTACCCATCTCTGTCTTTGAATACATCTACTTTCTAAGAGAATCTTTTTGGCTTACTTTTTTTATTGAGTTTCTATGTGGCATTTGAGTTGGAATCTTTTCTTTTCTCCTCCATTAGAGCTAAAAGTAGCATTTCTGGCTTCCTACCTCTCATATCCTGAAATGTGCTCTAGACCATCTGCACACACACACACACACACACACACACACACTCACGCTCAAAATCATGCTATAAAACAAATGCACTTGACGAGTAGATGCAGAGTAGAGACAGAGACCTTAGGATATCCTAGAGGTTGAGGGTGAATAAAGGACTGTGCTAGGCTATGGCAGCCCAGGTGGGTGGGGGAGAAACAGATGCCGCGTGGGAGCTTTCTACTTTTACTGAGCGTCTTTGCTGAGTAGGTTCTAACCAGCCGTGTATCTATACTCTTAAAGGAGTATAAATGCTGTCGACGTCCGCTACGTTTTGGCACCCTGGTACAAAGTTCCACTCTAATCAAGGCTTTGTTCCCCGTGATCAACACAGTGCCCCTAATTTTAGGATTTGGTGGAGCGTGTTGTTGTGGAAAGAATTTGCAATCCAGTAAAGACTTGACTTCTAGAAGTCAGATTCTGACTCTTAATAGGTATATGACATTCAGCAAATAACTTAATCTCTCTATTCTTTGGTTCTCATCTATAATGGGTATAATACTTGTGTAGCTGGTGTACCCCAAAAAAAACTTTGTGAGGCTCCACTGAGTCTTTCTTATGTAAGTATTGTTCCCATGTCAAGGTTAACTCCCTGTTAAGAAGGTTTATTTGGGTGAGACCTTTTTATGGTAACTCCTTAATAAGATGTATGTACACCTTGGCCAACGTATTCATTGGCTCACATTCAAGAATCACTCATTTGGAAGGGTGGTACGCTCTCTAATGACTCAGAATTCTCTCCCCTTTTGGGGATGGGTCTCAGCCCAAAGGGGAGTTTTATAAGTCTAGAGGATATTCAAGTCTCCAAGAGAGGTAAGGGGGCTCAAGTATAAGGCATTTGCATATTTTTGAGTCAGTTAAATAAAGCCTATCCATATTCAGTTCCTTGTTAACCTTAGTGAATATATGGTACCTTAACCTAAGAATTCACATGCTGAAATTCCTAGCGAAAACCCTAAGTGGGGGTATGAGGTAAAGAGTAGGATGAATGAAAAGCTTCCAAGATGGAAGCAGGTTCATGTAAACCAAGTTGGGCCATATATTATACTTGTAATAGTAACCTCACAGGGTTAGTGTGAGGAAAGCATTTTGTACAACTTGAAGTATTATACAAATAATTATGAGGAGTGAAAGTATATCCCATCAGAGACTTTTAAATAAAGATTCTATAATTTCATTCTAAGTATTAGGATAAGAGGCAGCATAACACAGATAGAGAAGGCCTACCTTAGAATCAGAAAAAACCTGAGTTCAGGGCAGCTAGGTGGCACAGTGGAGAGAGCACCAACCCTGAACTCAGGAGGACTGAGTTCAAATCTGGCTTCAGACACAAAAAAACACTCACTAGCTGTGTGACCCTGGGCAAGTCATTTAACCCCATTGCCTAGCCAAAAAGAAAAGAAAAGAAAAAAGAAAAACCTGAGCTCAAGTTCTTCCTCTTATATGTACTAGTTGTATAACCGTGGTCAAGTCACTTAATTTCTCAGGCTCCCAGGCAACCAAGACTTGCTTATAAATGAGCTGTTGACCTACATTAGGATAGGGAAAAGGAGTTTCCACACTGGGAGATCCCTTCAAAGAAATGACAGGTGTGGATCCCCTTTGTTTCCCTTCCTCTCCCCTCAAAAAAGTATTGGGACATTGCTTTTGTTGAAAGTCATGCTATGTTTATTTATAAACTAGAAGAAAGCATGCTGCAGTGGAAAGAGCGCTGGATTTGGAATCAGTCAACAAGCATATATTAAGTGTTTGCTAAGTGCTACACACTATGATAAGCATTCAGAATATAAATGTAAATAGAAAGAAAGCCAGCCCTACCTTCAAGGATCATACATTCTAATGGGGGAAGACAAGACAGAAAAGAAAGCTGGAAGGGGGATAGCATGATAAAGACAGTCCTAAGTCTGGACATGGCTGGTCCGGCCAGACACCCTCTTAGTCATCCAATCAGAGGGAGAGGGCACTGAGGCTATTTCTAGTATTTGAATTGCAAGCATGGAGTGAGACTTTAGGATGAAGCAAGGGGGCATGGTAGAAGAAGTCCTGAGTGCAGCCTGGAGAGGAATGAGCATCAGAACATCTGGGTTCAAATTCTGCCTTTGACACTGTATGAACTTGGGCAAATATTTCATCTCTCTAGGCCTATAAAATGAGGGGGGGCCCTGTACTTCTAACATTCTATGAACTTACTTTGTCATCACGGATTTCCCTTTCTTTCCTTTCTCAACCAGAGCTTCATTTTCAATGAAGGTCTTTTCAGAAGTAAGACTCTAGAATGACTTAGGAATGTTGCATCGCTCAGTCTCATCTCCATCTCCACACCTTTCGGGGGAGTCATTTTCTTGAGCTGGGCTTCTAAAAACATAACAGGTATTAGCAGGCCCCATTTTCTGCATGCATAAATTTTGTTATCCCTTCTAGAGAAAAATTTTTAGCTAGTACATGCCTAAGGTCAGATTTGAACTCAGGTCTTTCTGACTCCAGGCCCAGGGTTCTATCCACTGAACCACCTAGCTGCCCCCTTAGAATTCATGGTTTCCTTCCAATCTCAGCACAGATGTCATCTACCTCCTACATGAAGCCTAAATCCCCAGCAGCTGGGGCCTCCCCCTTACCTCTCAAAAAAATAGCCTCATATTTATTTTGTATATGCTTACATAAGATCATCCCTGTAAAATTGGAATGATCTTAGTGGTCTTTTAATCCAAACCACTCACTTTGTAGTTCAGGAAACTAAGGGACAGAAAGCTTGTGACTTGACCAAGGTAACAGGTAATAAGTAACAGAATTGGGATTTGAATACAGAACTTCTGATTCCAAATCTAGTACTCTTTCCATTGTAATCTTGCTGCCTCTTATGTGAACCTATTTATTCTGTTATAAAATGTAACCTCTTTAAGGCATGACCTCTTGAATTTTTATCTTGCATAATGCAGAGGTGTCAAAGTCAGATAGAATTGGGGGACACTAAACATACATAGAATAGTAGGTGGTATAGTGGATTGTGCTGGAGTTAAAAAGACCTGAATTCAAATATGGCCTCAGACACTTACTAGCTGTGTGACCCTGGGCAAGTCACTTAAGCCTGTTTCCTCATCTGTAAAAATGAACTGAAGAAGGAAATGGCAAATGGCAAACCGCTCCCATATTGTTGCCAAAAACAAAAATAACATTCAAATGGGGTGACGAAGAATTGGACACCACTGAAATGGTTCCTATAGCAGCATATTGACTTAGAAAATTCCATGATAACACTGTCTGTGTTCTATTGTATTTTTGCTTATTTTTAAAAATATTTCCTAATTGTATTTTAATGCAGTTGGAGCTATAATCTGGCAACGTGTCTGATATCCTTATTTTAGAACAGCATGGTCCCTGACTTTTTGTCCCTTGCCTTAAGGCCTGGGTTATGCCACCAGGTGTCTTTCCCAAATGTTAATGGCTGCTGCTAATTACAGTGATCACCATTGTGGAAAGCATTATTATCACTCTATCCAAATGTTTTTAGAACCTCACAGTACAATTTTCCCTTCCTGGTCTTTGGGGAGAGCCAACATAGACCCTGCCTTCAATGAGTTTTCAGCATGGGGAGCGGGTTGGTATGTGAAAGGGACTATGAAATTCACACTGTATCGTTCTGAAATCTGGAATGTATAAGATAAGACAGCCCTGCTTGGCCTTATGGGCCAGAGCAAATATTTTATCAAGGAAATAACCCCTTGCCTGCTGATGCATCTGGCAAGATTATCAAATTTGACATGTTTAGAGCAACTGACACAGATCTGGAACCGGCCTAAATGACAGCCTTTCTTGTTAGTTGGGTGAGACCACTGTTACTGTTCTAATGAATGAATCTATGAAAAGTCACCTCTACAGCTGGCATAAATTACTTCTGTTGGGCTTAGAATTTTTAAAAAGCATCAAGGAAAATAGTATGGTCAACATTTATGCTTTTTTTTTTTTGCAGAACAGAATCTGCCAAATTTTTCAATGCTGGGTGGGCCGAGAAATGAGAAGGGTGGATAAGGGGAGAAGGAAGAGAAACTCTTGCTAAGGCTGGAGTCTATAAGAGACTGGAATTTTTTATCAGCATATTGGTCTGGAGCACCTAATGGTCATGTTTTATTAGGCTATTTTTCCCCCTTTAGGTTGGGTCAGATGGGTGATGTTTTGATAATAAACCCTCAGTAGCTTTCATTAAGAAACACAGCAGATGAATAAAAGTACTAAAAAGAACTCCTTGCTGGAGAGGGAAACACTGACTTTTTCCCACCTGAAATTGGCAGCGATCACCAGACCAGAAATGGAAATTGGCAGGTACCACTGGATGTACGAGAGTTCAAGGCCACACCAGTACCGGCATGTGCCAGCTCTGAGAGACAGTGTTAGTCCTTTGAGCGCTCCAGGTAAATAAAGTGTTGAGATGGGTTCTAAAATAGAGAGTCAAGTAACTGGTTTGTGGTAGCTTTAACAGTTTCTTCACTTTGGTTTTGTCTTACGTTTTGTTTTACACCTAGGCTGCCAAAATAATGTCATGGCACAGGTTTGACCCCTGTCAGTTCCCTCATTTAAAAAAAAAAAGCTTTATTAGATCCCTGGTCCCTCTAGGATGAGATATAAATTCCTTAGCTTGAGATTCAAGGCTCTTCAGGACCTCACTCTCACCCACCTTTCCAAACATATTTTGTATCCCCTTTCCGCACTCCACAATCTAGCTGCACTATCAACTGCTCCCTAATGACATTCCATCACCCACATAGGGAGTATTTGCACAAGCAGTCTGCCAAACCTAAAATCCATTTCCTCCTCATCTCAACCTCTCAGACTCCTTATCTTCTTTCAAGCCTCGGTTCAGCACCTCATTTCTCTGTGAAACCTTTCCCTGATCCCCCCAATTTCCCAGTGGTCAGTGGTGTCTCCCTCCACAGATCATAAGATTTTGTATTATATTTTTCTATACATGTTTTGTATATCTATAACCACGCCACTCCATAGATTATCATCTCCTTATAGGAAGGGACTGTTTGTTTTGTTTATTTGTTTTTGTCTTTGTATCACTAGTGTCTAACACTTTGGTGGGGAAGGGAGTTAGATCTACGATTTTATTGATGAAGGGAATCACCTTCCACTGATACAGTGGGCCAGCTCATCTATACTTACAAGCCACTAGTTGCCTGGAGTCCTGGTAATGAGAATTTAAACAACCTGCCTATCATCACAGTGAGTATATGTCAGAAGCAGGATTTTTGCCTAGTTCTTCCTGACTACAATTGTGGCCCTCTCTATTCACTCCTCCTATACTCTATATTCTATAATTAGACCAGCCATTTATGGGTAGCCCTATGAGAGGTCTGGGAGGCCAGGAAAGCTGCTAGCACTAATCTGCCTCTTCTCTTAACCATCCTACTTCCCTGCTTCTGAAGGGTATGAACCATGCTGCCTAGACAGAAAGAACTCACAACCACCAGCTGGGAAACAATCACACCTCTCTGAGATCAAGATTAGCCTTAAAAGGGAAAATCAAACCGTGAGAGAAAGAAACTGACCTAATTGTTTTCTCTATTATCCTCATGTCGAGTTACCCAGTTCAGACTTCTTATTTCTCTTTTCTACCCCGCCCATAAGTGGAGTGGAATTCTCAAAACCTCTAGGCCCACCTGACCTGTTTTGCTGTGACCTAAAGAACAGTAAAAACACCTTGCTTTTGTGATTTCCTCCTAAATCCTCCTTTTCCTCCAGATCTCAGGTTCCATGTATTTCTTAAACCACTTGCTTTATCTTAGTTGAATGTAATGTAGTATGTTTTTTCTACCATGAAGCTAGATTCTGCTACCTAAAAGACATGGAAGGAAAGACCTTGGCTGTCAGAGCTACAAATAACAGTCTTGAAATATGATTATGTATTTTGCATAAACTATGACTCCTTCAGGTATCTTTTTTCTAAAAGGGATTACAATTATAGCTATAATGTGAAATCCCAAATTTGCAATATGTGTTCTGTAAGTAAAACATAAAACTGCAGAAAAACAAAACACATAATTAGCTAAATCAGCCCTGTATCAACATCCAATTTTTAAATCATTTTTTAAAAAATCTAGAGTGATCTCAGGGCCACCATTTGGGCCCTTAGGGTAGTTAGGTAGCTCAGTAAATAGAGCACTGAGCTTGGAATAAGGAAGACTCATCTTCCTAAGTTCCAATCCAGTCTTAGACACTAGCTGGGTGATCCTGGGCAAGTCACTTAACCCTGTTTGCCTTAGTTCCCTCATCTGTAAAATGAACTGGAGAAGGAAATGACTAACCATTCCAGTATCTTTGCCAAGAAAACCCCAAATGGGGTCGTGAAGAGTCAAGACATGACTGAAACATGACTCAACAGCAAGAGGAAAAGATTAGGTTACTGATATTCACAAAGGAGTTAGAATAGGAAGAGCTGAAGTTCTGGGAGAAATCCACTGGGCAAGAAAAGAAGCTCTCTGTATTTCAGAAACTTGGTGTGAAGGATAACTAAGATTTACATAATGGTTTAAGGTTTATAAAGTGCTTTACATATCATTTCATTTCATCCTCACAACCCTAGGAGGTAGATCAATTATCATGTCCATTTTATAGATAAGAACACTGAGCAAGGCTTTCACTTACTAGAATCACAGTTTCTGAGGGTAAGTTTGGACTTTAAGCCAGTGCTTCAATCTGCCAAGCTGTTTCTTAAGGTAAAGGTCCCAAAGTTATTAATAGCTAGTTGAAAATATCACAAAGAAAATAAAGCCAATTAAATTCTAATTGTGGAGGAAGGGAGGAATATGCCTGTTGAGGATCCTGATGTGTCTCTAAATTGTGAATTTAGAGGAGAGACAAATAAAGACTGGCTCTTAATTGAAGGAAGCGGGATGGGAAAGGGAGTAATTCTTTCCATCTTTTGTCCAGCGATGTGAATTTTAGGTGTTTGGATTAAGCCTCAGCCCTCAGTTATTCATTGTCTCTTTCTTTCACTGAATCCTTTCTCGAGACTTCAACATCCAATATTCTTTCTCATCTATAAGTTGGGAAAAGTGGTCTAACCTTCCTTTGAGAAAGAGGGTTCAAAAAAAAACACCCTGGTTTTTTATTTCCCAAAACCACAGTTAATCCACTTCTGCAATTTGAGGTTCCCAGTTAATGCTAATAAAATGAGAAGGAAGGAAAGAAAATCAAATCATTAGGGAACTAATAATATTTCAAGTAAATCAAATGAACAAAAAGATAAGATAAGATTTAAGATAAGATATAGCAAAATAATCACATCAGCATCTTCCCGTAATCTGAGAATCTAGACACATGTAGTTATTCCTTTTTGAGTTAAGTGATCTGAAAAAGCATACCTCTGTGAGACAGTTCAATATAGCAAGTTTTCTTCCATGTCCTAGGTAGTAGGAATACAGAGACATAAAAGAAGTGGTTCCTGCCCTCAGGGAGTTTGCTTTCTATTAGACAAATGATGAAAAGTTATATGTTGTACAGTTGTACAGGTCCATCTTTTGAACAAGTCAAAGTATATGGATCTAAAAGTATGAGAACTAGACTTATTCTGTCCTTCCTACTTGCCTCAAGATTACTTTTTGGCTTTGGAAATAAGCACAGTTGCCATTTTGTACTGAGATTCCAACCCAGACTGTGTGAAGCATTAAAAATAAATTTTTTAAAAAATAGGGGATTCCATATGGCACTTGACTGCTTTTTTTCCCATAGAGTTCTGAGTCTCCTTCCCTAGAAAAGGAAAGTTTGCTACAGGGCGATGGTTGGCTAGGAAACCACTGCCAAGAGAGAATGCCTACACTAGTCATGCATCTCTCATTAGCTCCCTCCTACCCAATATTTCATCTAAAAGACTGCCTCAGATTGCAAATTCCAAGATTGCTCCATTTTTCTTCACCTTCTCCACCCTCCGCACTTCCTTCCCCAGCTATTTTTAATAAGAGAAATTCAGAAGAGAAACTCTTTTATCCAACCTCTTCAGAAAGAATTTTTTTCAACACTGTAGTATAGGAGTTAGAAGTTTAAAAAAAAAAAGTCGCAAATCATTCTCCTTTTCCCATTTGACTTGCCAGTGGAGTCACTTTGAGGAAAACTGGGTAACCGTTAGATTCTCCTTACTTCTTTATCCTACATCCTAAAAGTGTGCTGATTTCTCTTATGGTGGAGACAGAAGAGAAAAACATGCTTGTGAAAGCATGATCTTTCTATGAACTTCTTCAGGTTCTTCTAATCCTAAATCTCACATATTCCCACTGTAGGAGGTTGTGTTGTAATACATCTTTAGTTAATTTGCTAAGATCTTTTAGGTCTGTGTTGGGAGCATCAGAACAAAGATGCTACCTAGAAGATAAAAATTAACTTGGAGGAAAGGACTATTCATGGAAGGAAGGGTTATGCCCAGAAACCATTTGCAAAATCTACCCATTTCATGGTGCAATTTAACCTTTGGAAATGCCCTTGGTTGGTAACATGACTTGTTCTTTATATTTCCCTTGTGAATGTGTAGTTACATAAAAATCAACAGAACTGATTCTTGCAATGGACAAAGAACGTTTGATTTCTGATTGTCCTACCCATTAATCTGAAAGATTCCATTTTTCTCCCCCTCCCCCACCCTGCCATTTTAAAACATTAATAAAATCCTTGGTTGAGGGGAGGGAAAGAGTTCTGTTTCAAAATGATTCCTGGTACCAAAGGAAAGGTCAGTCAGGAAAATAACTAGGTTCAGTGAATTGAGTTTTCAAATACCCTCAATTTTGTTCTCTAATATACTGCCACCTGGCGGATGGAGAGACAAAGGACTTCTTTAGGGACTGTTGAATCTAGAATGGATTCACTTAACTGATACTGTTTGTTGTTAGTCCTTTGTTCTGAAAGAGCACCAATGACCTCTGGAAGGTAATATCTTGACTTGCAAGTGAATTGGATTTGAGTGAGGCAGAGCTGTACAAAGTCATCAGCCTCACTCTTTCCTCCAGAGTCTTAGGAATTCAGTGGCAAGACATGTGTCAAGAGGACTGGTGATGGCCCCAGATGCAGTGGGAGGAGACCTTGGCCTTTTTAAGCTAAGGTCTTTCCCAGGTCTCAGTTTGTCTGAGGCAACACCCATTCAGTAATTAAAGGCTAGTAAGAATTGAGGCAAAAGATGGCCTAATCTGCCTTTATACAAGAATCAATATGGAATGAGATGGTCCTATTTCCCCACCCTCCAAACCTTCTTTCCCCTTCTTCCCCCCACCTAAAACTAGAATACTCAATAAAAAATCATTTAGTTGAGATGAAATGACCTATTTCGTAGAAAAAGCCCTGAATTAGGAATCCCAGTCCTCTCACCTATGTGGCTAGAGGCCTCAATTTCCTCATTGTAAAATGAGATGGGTCTACTAGATGT